AAAGTATTCCAAAGAGAACATCTTCTATGTAATTCCAAACTACTTTTTGTAGACATTCTTGTTTCAGGAAACAGGTAAGTTAGCTTGGGGGTCTTTTATAGGCCACCCAAAAGCGACATTAATCGTCTGCTGGATCTGCAAACGGCTCTAGACGGTGTTCTTTCGACACCTAACTCCGACCTACTACTCTTGGGAGACTAAAATTTGCCTGAAATAAACTGGGAAACTAACTGTGCCTTAAGGAGCTCAGACCACACCACGCTGTTATACGAAATTATTCACGACAACTTCCTTACCCAACTAGTCAAGGACCCGACTCGAGAAGAAAGCACCTTAGACCTAGTTCTTGTTTCTTCGCCTGACTTAGTACACGACCTAACCGTTGGTGAACCTTTCTCCGATCACAACTCGTTAAATCTTCTTCTTTCGAGATACCTCACGGGTATCGTAGGTCCGAGAAATTGGCCTATTCCTTCAGAAAGGCGGATTGGGAACATCTTCGGAATCTCCTGAATTACATCCCTTGGCACTGTGCTTTTCTTGAAGACAACATCGACCTTGTTTGGTCTGCATGGTCGGATCTACTACTATTGGCTGTTGACGAATGTATTCCAAAACATCAAGTCATAGGATCCACGAATGCACCATGGATTGACAACAACCTTATTAAACTTTTCCGAAAAAAGAAACTACTCTACAAGAGGGCTAAAAAATCGTCGAAGGAGTTTGACTGGGTCAATTATCATAAGTTTAATAATCAGCTAAAAAAAAGGAATGTAACTCCGCGCGATGGCGGTATATAAACAATTTGACTGAGGAGCTAAAGTCGAACACTAGTCCGAAGCCTTTTGGGAATTATGTAAAATCCAAGAGAATTAAAGGATCAAGCGATCTAATATCCTTGAAAGTAAACGATGAGTTTCTGAATGATGATATTAGTATTGCAAATGGCATGAACCATTATTTTTCGTCTGTATTTACTGCAGAGGACCAAGCTAAAAGGCTAACATTCCAGTTTTCGATTACGTTACTAAAAAATGCTGAAAAATTTAAATATCTATAAATCCCCTGGGCCAGACGGCATATCGCCACGGATTCTGAAAGAATGTAGTCAGGTGTGATCTTCTCCGTCAGCGTTTCTTTGGAATACATCTTTTTTGTTGGGTCAGCCACCACTGACAATGTGGAAAATTGCCAATATTACACCGGTGTACAAGAAAGGGAATAGGAATCTTAGAGAGAACTATCGTCAGATTTCACTAAAGAGTATTCTATGCAAAATTGCAGAGAAGGTGGTGAGGAAACGAGTCATTGATTTTTGGTCTGATCAAAATCTCTCTGGGAAATTTAGGTCGGTAGAGAACACTAAGGATCTCGGAGTAACCATCTCTTCTGACCTGTCCTGGGGCATGCATGCATCTGCAACGGTAAATAAGGCAAATATGGTACTATGTATCATCAAGCGGTCCATCGGAACTAATAGCCAGTACGTGTTTTCGCAGCTCTATAAGTCACTAGTCAGGCCCATACAGGTATACGGCTCCTGTTAAGAGTCCGTATTTCATTAGAGATATTACTGCTCTACAAAAGGTTCAACGAAGAGCTTCGCGACTAGCCTTAAGGAAGCAACGTGGCGAAATGA